AAATTTCAGTAATGCGTTTTCCCCCTGTCACTCATTGCTCAGATTGTGAAAAGTGTTAAAAGCTGGAATGCAGATTTCTCCAACTAATCGTTATATGAGTAATCATGACCAGATATTATTGCTTAAGTTTTCTGGCAGTGCCTGTAATTTCATTCATGACAAACTAATACAACTTCTGTGAAATGTCATGTAGGCTTCATCAAGGATTTAGTTAGAATTTAGTATTATTATACGGCCACTTTCAATGTCAGCAAATAGCTTAAAATACAACATTGAAAAAATATCGGCAGCAGTAGCTAGAATATTATTAGGATAACTAACAAATTAATTTCCATCAACCAAGCACAACCACTTTTTTTTCTTTTTTTGAATCAATGGCTTATGATAAAAGCTGTCTCCTAAATAGCTTGCTCAATGAATAGGGCAACTCATGACATTAAAGTATCTGAAAGCAAACTTATTTTACAAAGATGTTGGGAATAAATACAGTAAGCTTTCAGACAAAGGATGCTTGTCAGGTTCTTAGTATGCAATGTGAAACTGTAATGTTCTATGTAGTGCTTTAGTTTTCTAATAAGTCACTGTGATAAGGTTAACACTTCGACACAGAACAACATACAAATAAGAACACCCAAAGATGAAAATTACTTTGCTTATGTTGCTGTATTAGAATTTTATTTGCTAAAGGGTGAAAACAGATTTGCAAAATTCACAGTTAACTTAAAACAATAGTTTTAAACCTTTTATTCCTAGCCCTGGCTGCCTTCAGGAAGGAAAGAACATCTGGTTATTTAAGGAACACAATATGTTCACATTTTCTATGACTTTTGTTTCTAATTGGGTTTTTTAAGTTTTTTTTATTTGAACGACTCTAGTTAGAACTATGTTTTTTAATCACTTTATCTTTTTCCACTGCCCTATCTCCATATCTCTACTTCTTAATTCTGCAGCCTTTGCTTTGAAAATTAACAGTGCTCAATGGTTTTGAAAACGAAAAAAAAGTTAAGAAAATTGGCCACTCGTGAGGTATTAAATACGCAGAGACACACCTTCAGTAAACACTTTTGGATACACACAAAAAAACCTTCCCTTATTTTCTCATTTCACATATACATACTTTCAGTAGCCTGTTCTTCCATTGGAAGCTCTACGAAGGACTGTAAATGCATAGAAGTTACTTTTATATAAATAATTGAGGTAATTATCTGTTCAAAGATTAGAAATGTGAAACAAATACTCTGCTAAGCTGGTTAGCTTTATCACCCTATGCAAAGACAACAACACTGATTTGAGCTTTTCATTCTACATTATCCTAAGAACTGGAGCTAGCCAAATGCAGAAAAGGCTGATATTCAATTATTCTGCATTGATCCATTCTCATGCCTGTAAAATTAGTATCTCCCAGGCCCCCCTTCAGGGACAGGTGCATTAATTTGTTTTCTGCTATTACAGAGATATGTATTTCTCTTCTGTGATGCTGGAGTATATCAGAGACATGGTATCTAAAACATCCTCTCATCCCAACTGCCAGCTGGGGTTCACAAAGTGAAAAGAGCTGCTTCATGCATGAGATTAATGGCAAGCACTAATTATTTCTCATATTACTGTTATTACTGGATAAAGCTAAGGCTTCTGCTAAGGTTTGATTCCACAAAAGGTCACTAAATTGTCCATCTTAAAAAAAAAATAAACCCACCATATTTTAAGTATAGCTTTCATTTGACATTTAGGTTGCTCTCCTGATGATGACTGCAGTGAAAAGAAGCAAACAGAATGTGACAGGTTCATCAAGGCAAAGTTTAACTCTCCTGATAGTCTACAAGACAAATCAGTTAGGAGAAGATATCTGTTATGTCAGACCAAGAAAACAGAAGAAATAATGGATGATATTAGACATGCAAACCCAGATTATCTCTAGAATCGGAAGTTACGGGTTGAAAGGCTGTATCAGGTCCATCTTAATGACTTCATTATTTGTGACAGGATTGTTTCTCAAGAACTTTTCAGTTTTATGTACACACCACTAACCTTTCTTAGTCCAAATACCCCACAGTGTCCCCTCAGTGAGATTATTTAGCATTGACCTAGCTGCAAAATGAATCCCAAAGACAATATATATCAACAAACCTGCAAGAGGCAGATACCTGTTTGTCCATGTCCTTGGGCTGTGGCCAGTGGTATGAGGCTCAGCGAGGGAAAGTGCTGGGTCCTGCATTTGGGCCACAACAACCCCATGCAATGGTCCATGCTTGGTGCAGAGTGGCTGGAAAGCTGCTCGGTGTGAAAAGACCTGGGGGTGCTGATTGATGGTCTCTGAACATGAGCCAGTTTGTGCCCAGGCAGCCAAGAAGCCAACAGCATCCTGGCTTGTATCAGCAGGAGTGTGGCAGCAGGGCCAGGGCAGTGACCATCCCCCTGTGCTTGGCACTGGTGAGGCTGAATCTCGAATCCTGTGTTCAGTTCTGGGCCCCTCAGTACAAGAAAGACATAGAGGTGTAGGAGGGGGTCCAGAAAAGGGCAACAAAGCTGGTGGAGGGTCTGGACCATCCAACAGTCTCCCACAGAAGAGTTCCCCAAATTCATATATTAAACCCCAAGCGAAATCTTGGAAGAAATACCACACAGAACAACTCAGCCCTGGGTCATAAGATCTAAACTGCATTGAACCAAATGTCACTTCCCATTAGAAACTAGAAGCTGGTAATGGAGCAATGTACAGGAAAACATTAAAAGGGCGAGAAAAATCATTAAGCACTGAATTTGCTGATCATCACTTACAAGTTACAGTACTGACTAAAATCTCCTTATCTTGTCTTCCAATCTCCTTTTATCTCCTCAGGGAATAAAGGCAAACTGGATTATGTTTACACAGATAGCAAAAAAACCAGGTATCATGATTTTCCCACGTATGCTGGTACATAATCTTTCTACTGATTTTAGAGCACTACAGCACCCATGATTTCTTGTTGAGTAAAGACTCATTCCTTTCATTCCATGTAATAAAAAATTTTGACAGACTTGGAAAACTTTTATGTGTAGGTCTCATGGAATAGTGAGACTTCCATTTCAGCAATACTTTATATTGTACCAACATATGCTTAAAGACACGTAAGTGAAACTAGACAAGAAACAGGTACTCAAGTCATAGCATTGAAAATACATTTCTTTCTCAGATCGGGAGCTATTTTTTTCTTTTAGAGTGACCCTTTAGAACAGTTTAACTTCCTTATACTGTAAGAAATTCAGATCTGTTTATGCAGTCTCAACCCAGAGATGCAACATAAAACAAGAGGTGGCTGGAAGTCCCATGGGGCTCTTCATCCTCTGGAAACCCCAGCTTCCTAACCTTTAAAGTATTTTCCAAGCAGATAAGTACAGCTTAGAAATGAGGAAAAATTGTAATTAATCATATTTAAATTTACAAAACAACTAGATGTCTTGGTATGAAAGAGCTTTAAGTAGTTATCCACCTGAGTGAAGAGAGAACTACCTGAAAGCCATGGTAGGGACTACATCCACTATATTCCGAAAGGTGTTCAAGGTACACCTAAGAGTGCTAATTAATAGGACATGGAAGCCTTAATGAGCCTGACAATTTCATTCTGTTGAAGACATGAGCACAAGGAGCAGAATAGTAATCAAGCTTCTTTTGCGGGAAGTCAGTGGTTCATTTTTGCCTCCTTTAGCTGGTAGGGTATGCTGTATACTGCCTAGGATGCTGTGGAGGACAGCTGAATAATTAGTAATTATTCTATCTCTTAACATATACGTTAAATAAATGACAGATTACATATTGGATCTAATTTGATACCTTAGCACAATTTTCCTCCCTCTGCAAAATACTTCTATCTTGTTTTGCTAAGACAGTACATAAACAAACGCTGGGCAGTCTGATTTCACAGACTGCTGCTGAAATCTTAAGAAAGATTCCTGAGATCTAACATTACAAACTTTCTTACATACTGAAAAGATGATATATTTTACTTCTCATCATGAAAGAAATCTTTGTGCCTGAGAGGAATGAAGAGAGCAGCTGTAAGGATGCAGATTTCTGCAGAAAACTGATACAGAAACAAAGAGACAATTTTTTTCTTAATCCATAAAAGTGTAAACATTGGTACTGAATGAAATTTTGCAGAAGGCAGTCAGAGTGCAGAATTGATGAGTTTTTCACTTACAAAGGTGACGTGCATCAAGATGAGGGAAATCAGACTTTACACTGGCAGCCTACTAATGGGACATGCACAAAGACAGTTCAAAACCAGCAGCACAAATTTTGCTACCTGCCAAAGATCTGAGTACTGCAAAGATAACTGTGTACAGCTTCATCTCAAACACCTTATCCACTGTATGGTGGATATCTGCTGTATATTATAACCACACATATGCACATGCCATTCTGAAACAAAGAGGTTTGTTTTCTTTTAGTATAGATGAGCATATCAGAAACGGTATGCTGGTAATATGTAACATAAAATTTATGAATGTATACATTTTATTAATGTGGATCTTTTCAGGCTGTAAAAGCAGTCTCTTAGTTTTAATTGAAAACCATCACTTAACTATTATATAGTGGGCAGAGGTAGTGATTCAAGAATTAACAGTGATTAATCTGCAGAAATCCCATGAAAAAGGTCTTACAGATGAAATTGCATGACAATTTCTATATATCTTACAAGATTACTATATAAAATCTGTTTCCCTCAAAGTATACTTGATGTTCTGTGCAGAATACCAAGCAAAGATATTCTAAAGAGCATAAAAATATGCAGTTATGAGAGCTCCTGGATATCTTTACCAAAGTAATAGAATAGAATTCTTTAAAGAGTAACGGAACTTCTTTCTACTTTTGGTTACCAACTCTTCATCTTTTCATCAGGTAAGAAGAAACTTGAAAATACAACTTAGTCCCCAAACTGCAGGTTGTTATTAACTTCACAGTATTTAAAACATTTTATTACAGAGATTTATTCCCTGTGTTTAAAAAGTGAGCATCTCACCTTTGGATCTCGGAGAAAAAGTGCTCTTAGGATAAGGGAGTGAACGTCTCCAATAGGTGGATAATGCATCAGAAGTCCCAAACAGGTCTGATAATTACTTGAAATCACTACAATGCAAATGAAGAGAGAGGGGAAAAAAGAAAAAAAGGAAAAAAGTGAAATATTAGTGAAATATTTCTATCTTATTCTGATATTCTAAACCAGTACCTTTTACAGTTGATTCATTACAGCTCAGATTCAGCTGTCTTTTTCCACAGTAGGTCTCTTAGAACTCAAAGCAGTGTTCAAAGTAAAAGAAGATATTGCATAATCAAGCTTCATGACTACCCTTTGTCCAGTATAGGACAACGCTAAATCTACCACTGACTTTATGTCATAGACACGTTAACTCTAGATACAGATGCCTAAATTTAGATCTCTGTAGCTGTGCACCCAAAGCTTGCCTGAGTCAGCAGAGGTCAGGGCAATACAGTCAGTGGAGACTGAAGAACCAGTCCTACACTCTGAAATGGACACTGACTTTTCAGACATTCATCTGAGATAAATTTTACCTTTGGTCCTGCTTTTATGATATCTTTCTTTCACTGGCAGTTCTTTGTCACACTACCTTTTATGTTGTTCTTATGTACCTATATGTATACATGCCCACATACATGTATATACATATACGTAAAATAAAGTCAACAACTCCTTGCTTATAAGTCAGAAACTATGCATGACATGTTCAGGAAAAAGGCTAGATTTTAATTTCATAAATATTTAAAAATGTAATATACCATTAACTTACATTACATGCATTAGGTTTTCCTCTTATTTCGGAAATTTTCAGCATGTTTTCCTAAAGTCTTTAATTTAGCTGTAGTTCTACTTGATTTTATCTGAATCTATGTAAGTATACTCTGTGGTTCTTTGCTTGCCATTGTCTTCCTTTTTTTCTTCTTTTTTTTTTTTTTCTCCCCCCTCCCCAAATCAATCTAATTATGAGTGCAATTATTAAAGAAATCTTTTCAGGCAGGTCTATGTAAGCTACTTCATTTCTTTTGCACCATCTAAATCCAGGCAATCCATCTGCCACAGCTGTCAAAGCAATGCCTGCTAATGAAGCTTGCACTCTGCAACGTAAAGGCAGCCTCCAACAATAGCAATTGTAAATAAATTTTGAACAACCTTTACTATTCTGATAACTTCAGCTGTAGTAGCAAACACTTTCAATTAATCAAGCCTCTCCACCAGAAAGGATCACTCCAAATACAAAATTATTTTGAATCAATAAAAGGCGATATAAAGGACTGTTTTGTGGACAGAAAGATTTAAATGTTTTACTTTTTTTCTTTCATGTGAATAAGCCTCATATCCTCCTGTACCTTTTTTTCCCTCAACAAGAGGATTATGGGGAAAAGATGCAGGACTGGGCAAAATGCATAATAATAATCTGTTTAGGGAACCACTTTATCATCTTCATTTCCGTTGCTGATCCGACAGCTTGTAATTTCATACATCTGCTTTCATTTGTAAAGCACTCACTTATCCTACTCATTCTTTATCTGTTCTGCCTGTTCTTTTCCCTACCCTTTGTTTTTCTTGTTCATATCCAGGTACGTGTTTTTTCTTCTTGAAGTCACAAAGCTGGCATAATGAACACAATACAATGGTCTCCGTCAGAGTTCTTTCAGAGGAGTATAATACTGTGCACCACACAGTACGTACCCAATCAAATTCTTATACGTAAATCAAATTTAAGATACTGTACTGCAGTTATGGCCACGATGACTTTTGACCAAAGTAAATAAAAATATTGAAAATTGATAGTAAATTCTAAATACTTTTACAAATAATAGGTAGTAAGACCAATGCGTTTCTATTTCAAACAGATCAATAAGTGTTTTATCCTGCAATGTAAAATGGATTAAAATGATATTTTTTTTTATTTTTCCTGGAAGAGTTCCTTACTGTCTCACAGATATAGAGAAAAGTAAATATTAAAAAAGCTAATTTACTTTAGCGGTGCAGACTTGACTTCTGACAAAAGAAATGTATTTTCAACCACAAGACATTTACCCTAATTATTAACATTTTGAAATGTATAATACTGAAGCAACTAAATAATGGAGGAGGGGGGAATCAAACTGTTGGGCAATGACCTTTGCCCCCTCTAATCCCTAAAAGTTAAATCTAGAAATGAAATTTTACTATCCAAAGAAAGTTACAAACCTTCACTCTTTAACAAGGAAGGTCTGCTGACTTCTACATTTATTTTATCTTTAGGGTTTTCCCCACATATTCAGCTGTCCCCTTTTCCCATAGACATCTTTACAGAAAAGAACATTGCTGCCAGTGCTCTATTTGCTGGGGAACCTTGGGTTAAAGGGATCTCTTTGCTGAAACACCTCTTGGCACGCTTTGTTTCAGAGTGATCTGTATGCTGTCCATGAACTGGCAGTATGTGCTGCAGCCCAGAAAGCCAACAATAGCCCGGGTTGCATGAAAAGGAGCATAGCCAGCAGGTCCAGGGAGGTGATTCTGCCCCTCTTCTCTGCTCTTGTGAGACCCCACATCCAGTATTGTGTTCAGCTCTGGCGCCTCCAGCATAAGAAGGACGTGGACCTGTTGGAGTGAGTCCAGAGGCCACAAAAATGATCAGAGGGATGGAGCACCTCTCCTGTGAGGACAGGCTGAGAGAGTTGGGGTTGTTTAGCCGGGAGAAAAGAAAGGTCCAGGGAGACCTTATTGTGGCCTTTCATCACTTAAAGGGTGCTTATAGGAAAGATGGGGAGAAACATTTTAGTAGACCCTGTTGTGATAAGACAATGGATAATGGTTTTAAACTAAACCAGGAAGATCTGGATTGGACATAAGGAAAAATTCTCTAAGGTAAGGGTGGTCAGGCACTGGAAGAGGTTGCCCAGAGAAGCTGTTGATGTTTCATCCCTCAAAGTGTTCGAGGTCAGGTTGGATGGGGCTTTGAGCCATCTAGTGAAACGTCATTGCCCATGGCATGGGATTGGACTAGACTGGACTTCCAACCCAAACCATTCCATGATTCTTGTATCTTCAGAACAAAATGTACAATATCCAACAGAGTAGCAGTTTTCTTAAAAATTACAGAGAAAAGAGCAGTAAAACAAAACGAAGACCCCTTCTCTGAACATGTGTATCTGATTTAAAAGGATTTGTAAGAATCGACCATAGGAAAAAAAGTTTCTGGAAGGAGATTCTGTGCAATAGAGATTTATCCACTCTCAGCAGTAGCTGTATGGTGGTGAAATTCAGTGGTGAAATACATCTTACCCTGGGGCCAGCTGCCTTGTAATAAGCTTGGTGCTTCTGTACCTGTACTTTTCGTTCACTAATTAGCTTGGTAAGAGTCACATCTGGATCCAACTTCTATTGTGAATATAGCTATTCTTCAAGTGGGAACACTATAAAAAAAAACTTATTTGAACACTGATCAGTCAAAATTAGCTCCTGGTGTAATAGTGACATTAGTTTTACAGGTCTTCCAGGTTTTTTCATTTTTGTCCTTCTTGAAGGAAAGTGAAGTATATAAAATACATCTATTCTTATACTGCACCCTCTCCTCTATTCTGATTTCATCAGCAACTGCATATACATACATACCGGTGAAGAAGAACTAACATATCCATGCTTCTGATTTGAAATATTAAAAAAAGGATGTTTTACAGGAATTTTTCCAAAGAAACCCATAAGATAATTTATTAAAACTCACAGATAGTTAGGTATACAACCCCACACTTGGCTTGTGAGGATTATCGCTCCATGAATAAAGCTCTGCTTGGATACAGATGTAAAACTGATCAGAACAGTTTACAGAATAGCTATATACATGATTATATATCTGTAATCTCTAAAATGTATAAACAATAATCAATCATCTAAATGCTCCCTTCTCTTTGAATAATATATAATCTGAGTAACAGGATTTAAAAAATTAAATAAATAAAAAAAGAAAATATAGCAGAAGTAATACTTTTTAAGAATCATGTCCTTGAGAACATGTAATAGAACATGGAAAAAAATCCATCAATTCCTAAACCAGCAACTTCTCCCTGATCCCCAAATATGTTGGCATAAAGGAATCTGAATAATTTAAATTTAAGTTCCAAATACTTTCAGTACTGTGTTATTATCCTTGCTTACATTTGACATTTTTAGAACATAGTATGTTAGGAGCTCTATTATTATTCCTACTGTTTCAAAGTTTTTAAACTGAAAATTTCCAGACGGTTTATTTAACATCATTGCATGTTTTGAGCTAACATTTCCTTTCACCAAATAAAGAGAAGCTTTTAGAAACTTAATTTATTAGAAAATGTTTTAAAAAATATTATCACAGAACTCTGAACTCCATTTAAAGCTCAAATATTATCATCAATGAAAAAAATGAGGAAAAACTGAGAACTTCTCTGTTTCAGATATATAAGAAAAGCTTTCTTGTATCAAAGCAAGAACTGTGGGAGTTGCTATAGCTTGAGTTTGACTTTGAAAATATATTCAACTTTACAGTACCTACGACAGGGTATTTTGTTTCACCATTCTATCATGCTTAGAGTAACTAACTAGGTCCAACGATAGAACAAAAGGTTACTTACTATAGAAGCAATATATATATTACAGTTACAGTATAAGTATTAGCCATCCTGATGAGTTGTCTTTGCATCTCATTTGGGCAAACGTACTCCACTTTCAAGCTATTTACTACTCCATTTACTAAGCCTGGGGATTTCAGAGAAAAGAGACTGATTTCATACAGATGCCCAGATGCCTAGAACACATTTTTAGCTCACATTTTCAGTTACCTTATACTGATAGTTCTACATGAGCACCACAAAGCAAAAGAAAAGAAATACAGAACAACATTCCCTCCCAAAAAGACAGAGGGTGCTTACACCGTTCTAAAGTTTGGTTTTTCTTCTGAAAGGAAAATGATGACACAAAATAAAATATTGATGCTAAGAAATATTTTTACATGCATGTGCACTACATACATGTTCCAAAAACTTTAAAATTCTTTCAGTTTACTGCACATAAACAAGCCACATTTCAATTGTAGAACATAATGACCTGGAATCAGATCATCCTGAAACAGCAGCATTAATTTTGAAACCTCTAAACTGAATTAAATGTCCATTTCTTTGAGAGGGATGCAAGGTAGCTCTATATGATGCATGTTTATTTAAAAGTAATTAAAAAACAGCATGAAGGCAAGCAGTGGAACGACAGTACGTGTAAAGTACATCCACGTTATATTTTCAAGATTGGGTCTTAAAACAGGAACCACAGATGTTGAAAACTTCATGTGTCCTAGAATACAAAATTGTGTCAAATATGTGACCTTGTTATAACCTAACGCTTACAGATTGTATATATTTAACTCTGAGCAGCATGCTACGGAATTCGTATATTTAATGACAGACATGCATCTTGCTGCAAAACGTACTCTTTGTTGCAGCAAAGTTGTATACAGAATTTTCTGAAAAATACGGTGCAACAGCAATAAATGTCTTGATCACTGCAGATCTTCCTCCTCCCATTCACAATTATATAAGCTTTTTCACATTTTTGTGGTTTCTTGTTTGTCCCATCTTAATGTATTTACTGGTTGTCACTCATCGGTAACAATTCACCTTTGCACATATTTCGGGCGTACTAAAATAAGACTAAATGATAACTTTTTAGAGATACCACTTTCGTATAGAATAAACACATTCTGTAATCCTTACTTATCTCTGCATTTACATTTACTTCGAGATATATCTTCGAAAATTATGACTCATTGTCTTGTGCATTTTCACATTTCTCACAGCAGAACTGGATACAAATACTTCCAGTGTCACAGGGAGGCTTCACTCAATTCATCAGCTTGGTCAGAAGGTGGAGCTCTATACATACCTGTATCGCTTACCGCACATAAAATCTGCAACTCTATATAAAAACACAGAACTACTCAGAAAACAAACCTGCATTTAACTCCGAGATACAATTTGTTTCATAAATACAGCAGACCGCATCTGATAATAAACGGCTCCTCTCCTAGCATTTGGAACGGTTTTCAGTATGTTGAAAAACTCACAATGAAATGCAGCATTTCTTAAATCCTCTTTTTCTTTGAAAAAATAGGTTTGCGTTTTTTTTTAAAAGATCAAAAGATTTTTGATACTTACAGGCATCTCTAATATATAACAACATGGCTACAAAAATGTAGTCAACTAAATTCAGGGTGATACTGTCAGCAAATAGAGCATCCCAGATAACCAGAAGGTCCTGAAGTGGGAATTCACGTCCAAACAGAAGCCTTACCCATCGCCTGAAAAAAAACAGGAAAAGAGGTGATTTGTATTTGTCTGTCTTGCCAAGTATGGTAAAGTCAGGATACATGCCCTAAGGTACAATCTGAAACATTTTACCAGAAAATTTTGCAAATGCAAAGATCTGTAATAACCACTTACTGTATTCGTGGAAATGTTACCACATCTATTGATACCTTACAGACTGTAGAAGCTTAACTGACTAATCCTGTTACGTGGATGAACCATAAAGGACGAAATATATCAGTCCTATCTACCATATTTTTGAGCATTTAATGTGATAGTAAAAATGTTATGTTAGAATAGCCTGGAACAGCAAAAACAGGAGGGGGAAGCTAGTGGTTTATGAGAAGCCCTGAAAAGCCCAGTCAAGTGAAAGGCTGTTCAGTGGCAGATGCCAACCAGCAGTTAAAATGGACTGGGTCACACTTACTTTGAAGAGGCTTCCTCCCTGTTATTGATGACAGTGTTTGCAGCTCCACGTAAAATACACTATGGATGCTACTTTGGTTAAACCTAATCTAAATCTTTACCAGTTTTAGTGATAATCTGCTGGTAGACTATACAGTTCATTCCTGGTCATATCTGTGCTGTTTTCATACCTAGCAAAATAAGAAAATCTTTCTTATTAAATGCAGTATTTTTTTGAGTCTGGAAGCTTGGCATAGTAGAAGAAAATTATTCCTCAATATTTCTTATTTCCAGTTCTGGCTCTTACACTGACTTACTTACTTGCTGAACTCGGGAAAGAAACTTCCCTATTCCAGAACTGCTAGCTTTGTACCTTTTTAGGCAGGATTATCTAAGGTCACATTTGAAAGAGCAAAAGAATAGTTAGTAACATTAATCCTGAAATAGTTATTATGAAATGGACTTAAAAATAATGAATTACATTTTTAGCTGGGATATGCAAATTACGACGCATGTGGAATCTGTTTATTCAGTGGCAAGAAAAGATTGATTGCAAATTTCTGCTAAGCAAATTAAGTCATTCTTTAAAACTCAGAAGAATTTCTAAAAAGGCAACTAGAAATTTCATCAAGATTAGTTTCACTTCTAAGAATTCATGTTTAACCACTTTTGTCCCAGAACTCATTGTTGGCTTTAGGCATCTGGGTTTTTTCTTCCTGATTCCAGTAATAAAAGTTCATCTTGAGACAAATGAATTCCAGTAGAGTCAGTTGAGCGCAAGCTTTTAAGATAGAAACAATCTGTACAAAAAGGCTGTCATAAAAGAAATTTAAATGGACTGTATTGCGAGTCAAGGTTTTGTTCACTAAACTTTTATCCCCCCTTCCGCTGGAACCATATTTGTAATCCACAAAAGCATCCAAGTGCAGATTTAGAGATCACTACGCAGATTTTTTCCCTTGCAAGAAATGTTATTTTAAAAGTGAAAATATGTGATTTTGAAAGGCATAGTAATAAAAAAAGTCACAGTATTAGCAATGACAAAACACAAATTCCGTATTCCCTTCTCTGACCAAACCCCCTTCCTATGAGGACTTATTTTCAGGCCTCAGAAAGAGAAGTCAGAAGAACTGTTAACACAAAAGCAAGGCTTAGCTAGTGCATTTTAATACCGTGTCTGTTCTGTCTAAGGGATTTTACCATATAGTGGCACATTACCCTACAGTGCCTAGTCTACAGGAGACTATCATCCCGTGGTGACACAAACACTACCCAAACTCTGCGTGAAGCCTATTACTTGCATTAACAACCCCTCCCACCTGTGAAACCGCAACTTTCAAGTTACACAAACTGTTAGGCAAGAAATTTCAGCTAAGCTTGAAGCATTTGAGCTGACTTTGCTTGCAACTACCCAAATCTCATTCAGAAGCCTTGCTAAAAGTCTAATACACTTAAAGGGAAAAAAATACACCACGGTGTAATGGGATTTGTTATTAGTCTTTTATTAGAAATCTCTTTTGCTCCTTTACTACTTCATTATGCAGTGTTAATCGTTTGTAGATGCAGGTTTATTCTGCTCAAGCAGAAGTCATTCCTTTTTTTCTCCGGCTTCTCTATTTTCTCTTGGGAAAATTAAACCTCAGATCCCAGAGGTATCATGTTTCACAGATGTACAATGCTGAAGAACAACTGGACTTCCTTTTGCAACCATAATATTACCATTAATTATTTGAACCTTCCTGTTGTAAATGCCTATCTACTGACTGCTCTCTTACTTTCTTCAGCAGCATTTAGCTCATAGCATCTATAAACCGAGGACCCTATTGCCTTGCTGCCATATGGCAGGACTTCACTCAGCTTTTATATTCATAAATAGGGATCTTAATTCTGTAAACTAGGTGTCCATGCTGAAAAGCTGTCTTTCAAACTAACATGTTTTTATTGCTTTTACAAATATTTGCAGAGAATTTAAGACACATTTAATAATTGCATTGGACATGATACACCTTTTTTCTTTTTTTTTTTGAGATGGCTGTCTGTGGTTTAATTATTGTTCTGTCCTGTTAATCTTGCCTTACATCTGTTACACCTGCAGACTGCGAGGCTCACAATAGTATACCTTTTATCACATGCAGTAATACAGTAATTCATATTTTACCAGGCACACTTAGCAATTAAAATCTACAAAAAAGAAGGAATACAGATTCTTTAAAGCCATAACACACCGAGATACTACATACGTTGTAGAATATGTAACTTCCACTCGTGATTCCTATATAATTAAACCAATATTCTCAAGAGATCAGAAATTACTAGCAATAGATAATGATTCATTAATGACCTTACAATATAGGGAAAGCAGGAGAAAACTGTGCTCTAGTAAAGCCATTAAATAAAGCAATGATCCAGCCTTACCAGTTTTAAGTAAAACCACAACCACTTTTGACTAAGGATTAAAAGACAATTCTCCAAGCATCAATAAAATTAACTTGTTACGTGTTACATATATTTAGCTGGTTATCTTCTCTATCTTCTTGTGAGGCAGAGAATTCCTTTAAAAACATTAAATAAGCCTAAGAAATAGTTACAGATGAGGTGATACAAACCATTTATGAGTGCTTATAAGGATGAAACAATGAAATCAGCAAGAATAAGAAAAGCTATAACACCAAGAAAAAGAAAGCATGACTCTGAAGATACCTCTAAACAACTAAACCTAGGACCTACAGCTTGTCAACCAGCTGCTTAGAAGTTCTGCTATAAGGGCCTGTTTTCAGCCATTTATACTTTTGCTAAACTTAATCTTCAGTAAAATTTTCACCCCAAGCATCTTGTCAAGAATTGATTTTTTTTCATTGATACTATTAATTAGAATAATGTTAAAAAAATTCTGCTCATGCTTCCCTAAGCATTTCATTAAGAATATCTACAATCAAAACAACAAGGTCTCTGAAACCTTTGGTAACTCTTTGGTTGACCAAAACACAGCAGAGTGCAGATTCCCAGAGAGTATGTTCTGTTTCTTCCTAAATCTTGTCACCAACCAATGATGCACCTGCCATCCCAAACTTCACCCTGGCTGCATTCTTCTTCCTGTGTGTGAAATAGTAAAGGTGCGTATCTTCCACCTGCACCAGCTGGTGACACTTGGGTGTGATGTGGGGGAGGCTGTTCATCTAGTCTCCGATGTTTGCAAGACTCACTAGTGGGAGTCTTCCAGAGAAAGGGAGGGTCAGGAGGATTTTGCATGGTGTAATTTCATTTTCAGTGCAAGTTTTGCTGTTGTTTTTTGTTGATTTTTTTTTAATAAGAAAATTATTTAAATAGACTGTACCTATTGAAAGGAACACCATCTTATCAAAACTAACCACTCAGAAACTGAGAAATGCCAAAATTAACATCAGTTGTTTATTGACTGAGAAAATCATATGTAAGCTCTGTCTCTTTAAACCCTGTCATGAATTATGTTAAAGCAAACATTTGTAGCCAGTGCAATTTACTATGTAAAGTCATGGTCAATAATTTAGGAGAAAGGGTAGACAGACTTGAGCTGTGATCTGCTTGTTCAAAAATAAGATACAGAAAAAGAAGAAGCAGTGACATTTGTGTAACACTTGCCAAAGAACTTAAAGCTATATGGTAGATAATATAGTTCAATACCTGCTAGTAAGCACTACTCTAGGCAGAAGTGATGCCTGCACTACCACTTCAGACATCAGTGTTTCCAACCTAAGTATACTGGGTGGGCTGCAGCTGAAGAAGGCTGCGTATCTCTGTGGATGTCCTTCTGCAGAGGTACTGAGCAGCAGGCAGGGCTAACATGGGGACTACCACTCCAGCAGTAGCACTTGCCAACACTCGCATGGATGAGAAGAGCAAGCATAGAGAACTGTAAATACACAGCAAAAGCATCCTCAAAAGAAGACATTTGACACCAGAAACTCTCCCAGATATGGCAGTTGTCAGAGGCAGTCAGAGGGGAGACACGCAAGTTTAGTCAGAGGATTTGCAAGGTAGTTTACTTTCTTTTAACCACGTGTAAGGAGACCGATCAAGACAAGCTTAAGCAGCATTTCAGCTCAGACCTGTTACACAGTCCATTTCTCCAGTGTTCTGTCTCCTTTCTTCATAAAGCTTGGTTTTATTAAAGCTCTTGTGGCTTCAGACAGTTCAGGGATTTTGTACGGAATGTTCCAGAGATTTACAAAACCTTCAAATGATACAATATAGAGAAGGAAACATGCCCAAAGTATAAACACAAATTGTTCTTTCAGCCACTCTTCTACAAGGGTCTTGTGGAAGGGCAATACTGCTTATGGTGCATGAGAAACTTAGTGATCAGAGATGAAAAGAAAGGCAAAAAAAGCTAAGTGTAACAATCAAGAAAATGATGTTTCTAAAATAAACAAAACCTTATTAAAATCCAGGTTGTCAGAACAGAAAGCAGCATGTGAAATCCCAATAAAGCCAAAAAACTGGTAGAAGTTATGTGGGAAGCTTTCCAGACTTTCAAGGATTTATAGAAACCTCTGATGTGTTCGATCTAAATGTTGAGAATTTTACACACAGCATACCCTCATATGCACAC